ACATGTTCAACACATGCATGCAGCGTGCAATGTCAATGTCACATATAGCAGTGTTGACAATGTGCTTGACATCATTCAACTTGAATGATTGATTTTTCCGGGCCACTGTACTTTTAAGGTCTCCCCAGATGAGTTCGATCGGGTTGAGATCACAGTGGTACGGTGGTAATCTCAAGACCTTATGGCCGTGTTGGCGTAGCATGTTGTCAATGTTATATGTGGGTGGAGGTTTGTTAGGTTTAATCAAAGAGTACAACTGTGGTTTAGTGGCCTTAATTGAAAATTGTATATTGTTATTTGTTAGCCATTGCTGCATATCTGACTTCTTTGTATTGGAAGTTGGGCACCTATTGTTTGGATCTCGAACACTGTGATAGGGAGCATTGTCCATGACAACAAGACTTTTGTAAGGCAGAGCTGGCAACAATTGTTCCTCAACATACTGTGTGAAAACCGTTGAGTTCATTTCTGTATGATAGTCCCTACCATCTGTGCTCTTTGACCGAAATACCAGATCACACCCAGGTAGGAATCCACGGTGGGAACCAGCATGAAGAACGATTAAACGTTCACCATATGCCTGTTGGTATTTTCCTACCATCACTGGGATCAGTGGGTAGCCACTGTCTGGCAGCAGTATGGTTTGCATTGACCCAGGTCTCATCCAGATATATGGGTTCGAACCCATCCTCTCTTGCCTGCTTAATTTCTCTAAGATAGTTACACCTTATTTTCACAATATCAGATCTGTCACACATTACAAGTTTCTGGTTTGCTACCTTCTTGTACTTGTATCCAAATTTGAGCAGTAGTTTGCTTAGCATAAACCTAGAAACATTAATGTCGTGATCCTCTGCAAGGATGTGTTTTAACTTTCTTGTGGACAGGTGTTCATTTCTAGCAAATAGCCGGCGAATGACATCTCTGATGACCCTGATGTCAAAAGAATCTAACTTTGGATGCCTACCTTTTTGTACAAGCTTTTGTTTATTGGTTGTTGGTTTATTTTTCACAATTTTTAGCACGATGTTCTTTTTCATGCCAAGAGCAAAAGTTGTACGTTTCATGTAATCCGACACCTTATAAATCGATTTGCTACGTTTGCTCTCTTTTTTACAAAAATTCAACACATTTCTAATTAAACGTTTAGCATCATCTGAATAAGCTTTCATGATGACAGCTAGAAGTGGTCAATGTGAATGATCCAAACGGTCTATCACTGTGCAGTGCACACGTAACTATCATGAACTGCACGTGCATTTACCTTTATGACCCAACACTGCCGCTGTTACAGGTCATTGGCTCCCTCCCTCTGCAAGCCGTCTGCGTTCTGCTGTTTATTTTGTTGACAGTTACATAGACAGATTCTTTAATACAAATGCATAATATCGGTGATTTACAATGTGATTAGGTTGTCTGACAAAACATCCACTTGCACAGTTTGAGATCGATTGGGTCATTGGATGAAGAGATATTTACAAAAAACCGGGTCCAGATGCATTTCATGCCAAACTATACACTTCAATGCAGGCAAATGCAAATCACTTCACATTGGGGAAAAATCACAGACATGTATATTCTACGGAAGCGTAGTAGGGCCACGGTGATAAATGTTTTTAGTCTCATTTTCTCCTACGTAGGAGATCCTAAGTCCTACGTAGGAGATAATGAGACTAAAAAATATTTTCACCGTGGCCCTTCTACGATAATAAGTCCTACGTAGGACTTATTATCTCCTACGCAGTACTTAGTATCTCCTACGTAGGACATACTATCTCCTACGTGGGTCATAGTATCTCCTACGTAGGACTTAATATCTCCTACGTAGGACCTATTAGTTAGTATTTCCTCCGTAGGATTTAGTATCTCCTACATAGGACTTAGTATCTCCTACGTAGGACGTAGTACTTAGTATCTCCTACGTAGGACTTACTGTCTCCTACGTAGTACTTAGTATCTCCTACGTAGAACTTAGTACTTAATATCTCCTACGTAGTAAATAGTATCTCCTCCGTAGGTCTTAGTATCTTCTACGTAGGACTTAGTATCTCCTACGTAGGACTTAGTACTTAATATCTCCTACGTAGGACTTACTATCTCCTATGTATTACTTAGTATCTCCTACGTAGTACTTAATATATCCTGCAGGAGATGATCGACATATGTTAATATACATTAGTCTGAAATGGTTGAGTTAAATCCCCCGACATGCAAACAATCTCCTATTTAACTGTTTCAGTCACTATTAGAGTCTACAGTTATGTGTTTCATTTACCATTAGAGTCTACTATCATGTGTTTCATTTACTATCAGAGTCTACTGTTTCCTTCACTATTAGTGTCATGTGTTCAACTAATTGTTGCACATTACTGCCATGTGTTGGACCGACTGTTGTACTTTACTGCCTTGCGTTCAGTTTGCTCTACTATTACACGTTGCAGTTAGTTGACTGTTATATGTTGCACTTTGTTACACTTTACTATTATCCGTTGGATATTTCAGAGGTCGTTGGACATGAGTCATAATCTGCGTGCACGGACTTGTATTAGAATATCGGTGGCAATCTATGCGTACTTATTCCCTTATACTTATACAAGTAACTATAATGACAATCTTTTGCCTTTTTGAACTTCGTTTTGTTGTATTAAAACGCCCCACTCAACACTTTTCCACCCCAGTCAAGTCAACTTGTAAACAATCACGAAAAAACAAACCGTGTGTGTGTGTGTGTGTGTGTGTGTGTGTGTGTGTGAATAGATGCATGTATGATATATCAAACATAACCATACCCAAAACTCCATAACTGCAATTAAATCAAGGTCCACGTCACCCTAACGTAATACACATACACAATAACACTGTATAGTAACACTGCGTTAGTGACATGAATATCTCACGTCCTGCATAACCAAACATTTCTCAATGTAATAACCATACTCCATAATCTGAACCTTAAAAAGGAGATATTAAGTCCTACGCAGGAGATAGTATGTCCTATGTAGGACTTAGTATCTCCTACGTAGGACATACTATCTCCTACGTAGGACTTAAGTCCTAAGTACTAAGTCCTACGTAGGTGATAGTGACACCCAAAATAATTTTCACCGTGGCCCTACTACGCTTCCGTAATATTCCATGCCAAGTCCGGACGGTGATGTTGATCTAGAGGCTACAGAACTGGAGAAATTTTCTAAGCACGTCGAAAGCCAAGTAAACAAGGCACACAGAATTCTAGGACTGATACGGAGATCCTACAATTACCTCGACGAGTCTTCACTACGGACACTTTTAACATCACTTGTGCGTCCGCATCTCGAATTTGCAAATTCAGCATGGTCTCCTAGATTTGAAAAAGACAAAGACCTAACAGAGAGCGTACAAAGAAGAGTGACGAGGATGCTGCCACACCTAAGGGACCTAACCTACGAGGAAAGACTGGCAAAACTACATCTCCCTAGCCTGAGATACAGCAGGCTGAGAGGCGGCATGGTGGAAATGTACAAACTCACCCATTGAAGATACATCGGAGTCGACAGCCTACTTCAAAAGAAGAAGTCAAGGTCAACAAGAGGGCACAGCTACAGAATAGAACTGAAGCAATGCAAAACATAAATGAAGCTGAACTTCTTCACTTTTCGCGCACCAAGGATTTGGAACACTCTACCGGAGGCAGTAGCAGAGGCCCAAACCATCAACTGCTTCAAAGGAAGACTGGACAAGCATTGGAAGAACTACAGGTACAAACTGGACTTGTCACCTACCGCCACAACAGTCCCTACCAGCTACCAAAACAACGACGGTAACATCGAGGGTGAGAGCCAGGATCAACTACAGGCAGAATTGCCTACCTATGCGAGCTGAAGAGGATGTGTGTGTGTGTATGTGTGTTTGTGTGTGTGAAATACATGTGGATTGTTTTGTTTAGGAAATCAATCAACTGATAGTGAGGAATGAAATGGTATTGATAAGTCCAACGTATTGATGCTTATATTTCCTTCATTTTGGTAATATATATATATATCATATAATGGTGTTTCGGTTTTCAATAAAACTATTGTGGATATTGGCGTGTTTGGTGGAGTCTTTTTTAGTTGTTATCGAAAGTCAGACACAGTCACGTTACCAACATTTCAGCCATACCGTGGCTGGGACAAGTCATACACTGATAATATTTAAAGTGAGAAAATATAATCTGTCGACAAAGAACACTTGAACAGCTAGAATACCACAGATATAGATTTAAAACTTACAACACAATATAAAAAGGTAGATCATCCTAAAGGTAGATTTGAATTTCTTTTGTAGTCTCTCAGCATGACATCAAAGCTGATTTTCTTTAATGAAAATAACTCCATAAACACCAATTTATTTCCATTTTGCTCATGAATGGAACGTATCTACCTACTGTATTTCTGTACATTTAACGCTTCATTCTCATACCCAACACAACGAGTACATGCTTAATGATTATTCATTGATCATGCCGCCCTTAAGTCGTTTCCAGGGCTAGTTGGGTGAACACTTTGAGAGGGACATGGAGACAGTCGAAAGTCTTTCCAGTAGCCAGACATTATATTATAAGCAGTCAGTGTTGTGTTTATTTGTGATCAGACCGCCTGCGTGGTGTACTGGTTAGAGCGTCCGTCCGGAGAGCGGAAGGTCGCGGGTTCGATCCCCGACCGCGTCATACCAAAAGACGTTAAAATATGGTACTTGTTGGTCCCCGCCTGACGCTCGGCATTAATGAGTACAACAAGGACTGGTCGGCTCGGAGTCAGTATAATGTGTCTGAGTGGGGTATTCATGCTTCACTGCGGCATGGTATCTCAGTGGGCTAGCACTATAAAACCAGCTTAAGTCTGGGCTAGTACAAGCAGCCGCACATACACATACACACGCATGCACGTCGTCATATGAGCGAAATATTCTCAAGTACGACGTAAAACCCAATTTCACCTCACCTTATTTGTGTTCTTTTCATCACACAACAGATCTCAGTATTACTGACAAAGTGTATTTATTTAATAGATACATTAAATGTACTCTCTAAGAAACATGCATGAATTTGTGACAATTGCTTCTACAGTACATGAAACACTAAGACGATATGACCACTTGTCTGAGATCATTGCGTTGTTTTATATTTACTGACATTTCGTTCAAGTTCGTGAAAGTAATTCTCTCGATGACCGCGTCTCAAATAGATTTGGGGCGCCATAGCATATGTCGATGTAAATGTATCTGTGTGACCCCGAAATAGTTTGTTAAGAATTATAGAGACAGCCGACTGGTCAAATCGATGACATTTATTGTAATTGTGCATGCGAACATTGCAGGACAAGTCAAAATGTGGGTTTCGGATGCACATACACGTGGGACTTAAAGCACAAGCCACCCAGGGTTTGACAACAGCCTCTCGTATCAACAGTTCGTTCTTAAACACAATGAATGTTGCTTGAAGTTCATCGAGTGGAGCAAGGCTGCAGATGTCCTCTTTCATGTACTTCATTGTAACCTTCAGTGTGTGCTGTGCCACCGAGTAACGACCTGGGTAGATGACAATCCCACGTTTTTCCACGTCATGTAGCAGGGGATTGATGACTTTGTTGTTTGAGAATCTCACGGAGGCGTCCATCCATACCAATAAGTCTGCCTTAGGTAGGTTCGCCTTAAAAGCAAAATATTGATGTTAACGTTTCCTGAGACATGTATAAATCTTGCAAGGTTTTCGAATTTTTTTTTCTGATTTAGACAAATTCAGGTCAATGTTTGTTTAGTTTGTTTATAAATGATAGAAAGCGGCATCTAAAAAGATATGATAAAATATCATTTTAATTCCACTGAGTTTACTATTCGAGTCATGTGCACGTTTCATTTTGTATCAATCAATCACAATATTGTTGTGATCATGTACAGCCTGTTTCACGTACGAGGTCGCAGCCAGTACTAACGATACACACTGGGAACATACCTGCACAATGATTGGCTTCCATGTGTAGCACATGAGATTCTGCACTCTCCACGGCATATGCTTCAAAGGAAAACTTCTTACCTCACAACGACAATGTTTCTTCAGCTGCAGGAACAACACAAAACAATGTCATATTTTGTGAAAGTGCCGAATCAATAATATCTTACTTCATGGGAGTATTCATCACAAAGTATTGCACGTCTCATAAACAGAACATACATATTGTCATGAACTTTACTCATATTTCAACACAGTTTCATGCAGTTCAATACACTTCTTCCATCTCTTCTCCGTATCCGTTATTTCTCATTAGCGGAAGGTCAAATCCTGGCCTGTCAGTGGCAACAACCTTAAGTCCTCCTTAAATGAAACAGGCGGCAGTATTGACTGGTAAGTTCGGTGTGAAAGGTGGATGACGTTTGTATTCACATAACTGTACAGGGAAACACTTCGTTGACGTTCAAAGTTTCTCTTCAACAGACACGCCCTATATTTTAAAAAGCATAATTTGCCAAATGGTGAACTATCGCTGTGCATTTTTAGTATGCGTTCCAAGAGGATTGTCGTAATTATATTTCTGATTTCGGTTACTTTCACCTCATTGGCTTTGGGAGACAGGAGCGCAAAGTGTTTCTACTTTATCGATTCTTGTTTGCTCCAAGGATTACATTCTTGGCTCACTTGTCACTAGCCTGGAACGTAAATCTCTTCATTTGCTCTTCTGTACATGTATCATATATGTTATGGCACCAGATGTAGTGACCAACTTAGCCTCCACTGAATACAGTACCATCGTTCATATATATTAAACATATTCATGATGGTTTGTTTTCTCTGATCCATATCAGAAGTCCGTGTCATGTCTATTACATGACTCATGTCTATTCCTCATGACTATTGCTCACAACCAGGATCTGTAGGATATCGATGGTTCTTTTCTGGTGCTCATGGCAGATGGAGAAGAGTTGAAATGATCTTCCACACTCTCTCTCTTTATGACGACACAGATCCATTAACAGCCTGCAACCCTCATCCAAATTCTTGGGTGACCTATCTTCAAAAGTTCTACGACTGCTTTGGCTTTAGCATTATCTAACACAGCTGAAAACTAGTTTACACATGCTTGTCACACGTAAACAATCTAAATAATTCAGGGACCCGTGAAGATCCGGGTTAGAATTGATCTTTAGTAACCCATGCTTACCATACGAGGCTACTAACGGGATCGAGTGGTCAGGCTCGCTGACATGGTTGACACGTGTCATGGTATCCCAATTGCGTAGATTGATGTTCATGCTGTTGATCACTGGATTGTCTGGTCCAGATAAGTTGAAGACCGCCGCTATATAGTTGGAATATTGCTGAGTGCGGCGTAAAACTAAACTCACCCACTCAATAAATACTTCAGGCTCAAAATCAAAACTGATATTCCGTCGAGTTGCGAAAACCCCTATTCTGATGGCATGTTGCCGACTGTAGCTTAAAACTAATTAGCCCACTTTCATGATTTAGTCGTGAAGAGAATTATAATTACATATCAATACGTTGTGTGGTATGGTGGCACAAGTAACACCGATACGTTCATATATTCGAGTATGCGACCTTTCTTCTATCTTGCTACACGGTTAGTCTCAAGCATTCACAAATTTGGCTGAGTTTTGGTTTTACGCCGCTTTTAGCAATATTCCAGCAACATCACGGCGGGGGACACCTGAAATGGGCTTCACACATTGTACCCATGTGGGGATTCGAACCCGGGTCTTCGGCGTGACGAGCCAACGCTTTAACCACTAGGCTACCCAACCGCCCCCACAAATTTGTTGTGTGAAATAGAAGGTTTTACATAGGATGTATTCCTAAATTTGCGATTATTGAAGTTGGGTTCATAGTTTACGACCGGTATTGAAATCACCTGTTTTCGTTGCCATGACAACAACCCTAGATCATAGTACACAAATGTGTAGTTATTAGTCACTGGGAAGACCTTCTGATGGAGATTCTTGATGTGAGCCTGAGACTCATTGAAGTGGTCGCTGGAAGCAGCAGTGACGAACATTATCCTCCTGCCGGAATGGGGTTCAGGGAAGAGTCCCATCAAGAGACTGAGATCCTCGTTGTTCAGTCCTGACATGGTGGATAGGACACTCTTAAGGCTTTCATTTGGTGTTGTGGATTTGGGCTGAGGACAACTAGATTCCGTACAAGCTTTACCTGAAATAGATGTTAAGTCTTGTTAGCCAAATCTACAACAACCTACTGCTGGTATCAATACTGGAAGCGCTTTAAGGGAAACGGTCTCACCTGGTTCCTTTTCGTTTTCACATGGTTTAACCTTATTCGCCTTCCACAGTCCTGCTGTTTTTAAACCTGTGGTGGTAATGAGATAATTATCATTTTGCAGTATGTAGAAAACGCATATCTCATACGAGCTAATTATTTATAGTGAGTGAGTAAATGTTGAAATTTATCTAGATGTGGTAATTTTAACTTAGTTCTGAGACTAGTAGATATAACAATGCCCCTTAAGATTTAAGACTGTATCCTTTTTGCAAAAAAAATCATTTTAATTTAATTGAAGATGAAACAGATGTTTTACTTTATTGTAAAACCTACTTAGATATAAGAAATACATTTCCAGATAAATATTTGGAACATCCTCTGACACAACACAGCTTTGTTAATATAATGTCTTCAACAAATATATATGCTATAAATACTGGTTACCTATTTTTATATAATGTTAGGAAAATAAAACTTCTAATGTTCTTCTGTAAAACTCAATGCAAAATATGTATTTATGAATGTAGTTTGGGCCACTGTCATACTGAATAACATGTCTGTCAGCGTGAGTATAGTTTTATACTGCTTTGAGCAATATTCCAACAGATTGACGGCGGGGGACACAAGTCATGAGTTTCACACACTGTGCCCTAGTGGAGAATCGAAACTGGGTGTTCGGTGTGACCAACGAACGCTTTAATCGCTATCCCACTGCTCCTGATCATTTATAAGTATTTGAACCGTACGTTTATATTGCGAAACGGAGTCTCTTAATATTTATTCTCGTGTGCACCTCCAGATCTGCCAGCTATGTGTGTTTTGGGTGATTTGGCGCAACGTTGTGCACTTTTTTCATATTGAATATTATTTAATCTTTATGAGCGTCATATGAGTCAAGGAAAACTCATGGCTATTGATAAAATAACAAAACCTCTGCACTATATTTAACTTGGAAATGTTGGGTTATGAACAATTGTGGAGTTTTCGGAAATCAGTCAACTGATAGTGAGGAATGAAATGGTATAACAAGTGACATGGACAAGTGCAACGTATTGATGTATATATTTCCCTTATTTTCGTAATAAATATATCAAATGATGGTAATTTGGTTTCAAATTATTTTTAGGGGGGGATATTGATGTGTTTGCTTGGAGTCTTGCTTAGCTGTTATTGAAAAGAAGTGAATTCATAGTTACGTTAGCAACATTTCAGCCATACCGTGGCTGGGACAAGTCATACACTGATAATATTTAAAGTGAGAAATACAATCTGTCGACAAAGAACACTTGAACAGCTAGAATACCACAGATATAGATTTAAAACTTACATCTAACATACAATTATGTCACTATTCAAGATATAAAACAGACTACAGATCGTCATCAACTAAAGGTAGATCACCATTTAATTTCTTTTTGTAGTCTCTCAGCATGACATCAAAGCTGATTTTCTTTAATGGAACTGGAAAATAAAAAATGATTATGTGTCAACTCTATTAAAACCAATTTATTTCCATTTTCATGAATGAAATGTATCTACCTATTGCATTTCTGTACATTTAACACTTCATTCTCATACCCAACACAACGTGTACATGGTAAATGATACGAGGTGACGATCTCTGGATTATTCATTGATCATGCTATGAGAGGGACACAGAGACAGTCGAAAGTCTTACCAGTCACACGGAATACCCTAGTTTGAGTTATGTAAATCTTATGTCACAGGGATTCACAAACGTGTTTAGGCATTATATTATGTTTGAATTAGCCCAAAAGTGAATAAAGCGCATTAATAGATAATACATTGTCAAAACAGAGCGCTATAAAGTCACTCTATATATGATTGTATATAAATTAGGGCAATTGGTAACCGAGTCACAGCGCCAATGCAATGTTGCATGTCATGTGTGGCAGAAAGTTATCCTCCCTGATTATCATGCTTGATCTGTCATCTCCTTACCAATATAATCCTCCTTGGTTCAACAGAACGATGAAAGCAGAACATTTCTCCCACATTTATAAGCTGACACGCCTTCTTGGAAAACGGTTCAAAAGCAATTAAACCCAACACACTCTCTCAGAAATAGAAATATGGTTGTATTGTGCTCATCCACTTTTTAGGTAAATTACATGGAATATTAGGACCGGAACTGGAGAAAGCTTATCCGTACCTTTTACGCTGTTTGGAAGACTTTTGAGCAGCGCACTGAGGTTGGCATTCCCCTGGGAAACTAGAAGAAAAGGCATTATGTGATAGTTTGATAATATTCTTTGCAGGTCTGTTTGTTTAACGCCGCACTCAGCTATATTCAAGCTATATGGCGGCAGTCTGGACCAGACAATTCAGTGTGATTAACAACATGAACATCGATCTACGCAATTGGGACACGTGTCAACCAAGTCAGCGAGACAGACCACTCGATCCCGTTAGTCGCCTCTTACGACAAGCACTGGTTGCTGAAGACCAATTCTAACCCAGATCTTCAAACATTCCATACAAACTAAATTATATATAGTATATTGTATCGATTTTTTTCAGTGTTTATAGATTGTATTTGTAAGCTGTTGTTGTTATCTTTTAGCATGACACAGCTTGTTTCTCCCATGTGTGGTGTTAATCATTTGCATATGTTACCAGATTTTGTTTCCCCTCGTACATCCGTATGATGTGGACATTCTTTTGCAGGTGTGTAGTCATCTGAAATATAAAACACTACTGCGTCATTTTTAGATAAAAGCCACAAATCCATGCCCGCCTGTCTTGAATAAGCCAGTAAATTGCAGTAACCGATGTTTATGTGTAACGTTTTATATGTAATATGTTATTGAATCATCTGATACGTCACATAAATATTTCGTATGTTTCGGGGACTCGCTGAATATTACAAAATACTTACAGATATGTGAGAATGCATAATCTTTAATGTTTTTCCTGAATGCAGTGGCAGCAACCAGCAACGTCATCATAGCAACACCTGGAACAGTTTCATTCCACATTATCACATACACAGGAATTCCTTACTCGGATTACAACAAATATTTTCAGTAAATGCTTGCATGACACATCACTGTCATAATGTGTCTACAAGAAAGTTGAGTTTAAATCTGTTTTCGACATGTCAAATAAAGAGCTTTTTAAACGATCTCCATGTATTATATACCTAAGAATGGAAGGATGATTCATTACCTATATGCGATGATTTTTAGGATGCTGTTTAGTGGAGCATAAATGATTGGATTGGCAAAGTTGCTGCTAAATATAAAAGATCAGTTAATGAAGCAAAACAGAAAACATATAGGTTCTAATTATGATACTATTCATGAAGATTATGTATCTTTTTAGAAGCAACAAGGCATACGCTGAAAGTAATGAATGCTATAATAAATGTTGTTGTTGAAAATCTTAGTCACAAGTACTATGTGATCTAACAATTAAATACGAAACCACAGAAATAATATGCAAAAAAACAGATTTTCATTTGAAGAACAGTGTGAATTAACTTTCTGTGATTATTTCATATGCAGTTACACGTATGATCACAGGTACATGTACACGAATATCGTGTCATTTACATTACTCCTAGGCCTGTTTTGTGTAATTGTTTGGGTTGGGCAATTTGATTATTGATTTATTAAGTACGAATTGATGATTGATCAATTATAGACTATAACTCAACGAACGGCATTTCATGATTTCATTCATTGTGATTAAAATCCTTCAAGTCTCTGCATGAGTGAAAACTTGATATGATGATAGCCTGAAAAGTGTGTGTTTCTATGTATGTGACGCTCGAAAGAAAATGACACTATTAGCAATATAGAATTGACGCTAATAACTATATTCCACAGTTTTCATAAATATGTTTATGTTCAGAACATGTTGAGACTTTCAGATGTTGAGTACATGGCATTTGTTATAAATGTCACAACGTGCGTAACCTCTGTTTCGTTTGGGATTTACAAAAAGTCCAAAGCACCAATTTTACACTTTAACATTTTTTCAATATATATTATAGTGTAATATAAAAGATCTCTAGTGACTGGCATAATAAAGAATTTTAATTTGAATGTGAGGGCATTTCTGTCCAAACGAACGATTCTGTTCATATACGTACATGCCAGAAAGGATACAGGGAGCAGGTATCTTTCCTTCATTTTACCAGCTAAACATATACACTCAGTGAGGGACCTTTCATAATTTATGGCTCACCCTTGCCCAAAAAATATGAACGGACACTAGGAAGGATATTATTTATGTATGTTATGTATTCATTTCCAATTAGAACGATAAAGTCAAACACCCATTACATTCTATAGGGTATAGGTGTAAGATGTTTCAGCAAAGAAGGATCGTCTCCGGGTTTAAGTGGAAGGAGGGTCTGCTTGGATAGCATTGTCTCAGTGGTCTAGCATTATGAAACTGGAGTCAGTGAAACGACTACAAGCAGCGCCTCACCCCACTCCCACCCACAACCCTCCACCACCACCACCCAAACCCCATACAACCCCCTACCCCCACCCCCCGCAAGCCAACACCACCACCCACACAGGCTAACAATGTTCAGTAATCTCGAATGCAACCACCTCACACCTCACACCTCCACCTCAGCTCATACGGTGAAATGGAATATCGTCAATGTATTTAGTATGTTCGCACAGGCATCTCTGTAACCAGGCCGATCTGCAAAAGGTTCTCCAGGAGTTCATCGGCTAACACAGCCCTACAACGAAACCCTAGAACTAGTCTTGTTCCTAGTCCTGCGCCCGAACCTACATGCAGTGAGTTGGTTGCTTCAGGTTTAATTCAGCTGACTTAGCCGGACCCAGTTGCAGACTACCTTAAGTCTAGCTTGGTTTTACTCTACGGCTCATGTCTACAGGCAGAGACCGTTCTCTGATTTGTCAAGCAAGTCCCGACAGTTAAACGTCACACTTCCTATCATATCTCCATCCCACCACGATTCCCCAAACCGCCTTGGCCTTCTAGTCTACATGTCACAGGCGTGCTTGACCCTAGGAATTCCCAGATCCACCTCCAGCCGAAGATTGAACCAGGTATCTGGAGGAACTTGAGACCCTAAAGCCTAGTTTAATCATCTCTGAGCAAGAAGTTCTTCATTTGTGCGTGGAAAGGCAGTTAGCTCACGTGTAAGTCCCTAAGAAGCCATTGTTTCTTGCAAGTCTTCCCCTAACTGAGCAAACCTACAAAGACATTTCAACTCGTTTATATTGTTATGCCCCGAGACAAGGTACGGAATTCATGCTTTTCCCGTTCTTCACATGTTGATAACTCGCCAAGACCAAGCAAGCTGTTTTCATAACAACGCAGTGGTATACAAAGTCTAAACCTAAAAATATTTTCTCTCCTTCGGGAACATCGTATATCAAAGCATACTGATGCTATCCCTGTTCAGTGGAAATACGAATACACTCATTGACACGCTCGAGCTTCACGCAGTACACGTGGTGCATTCCCACTAACAACAACAAAATGCACACAAAATCAGAAAGAAATCATATGTGTGCCTTGTGAAGAGTATTTTACTTACGAAAACAAAAAGATAACAAGACATTTTTGTTTTTGAGATACCTCATATTCGCTGTTACTTTGGGAAAAAGAGATAAAAGTCGAGATAAAGCCGGTGATTTACAAGATGTGACAAAGGCTTTTGGTTAAATGTGCCAGGAAGTCTCAAGCATTTAATCTTATGACTCCAACATAACTGGTTGATATTCCAACTACCTATTCTGTTCACAAGGTGTCATCGAGGCAAAACGTTATACCTTTCGAAAAGATGAAGGTGTGTTCCAACAAAACACATATCTATTAACTTTTGACTCCCCTGTACTACCTAGTTCTATCAAAGTTGGATGTTCTGCAATGCGCGTGGACCTTTTTTATTTCACGGCAATCACGTTGATTTAATGGTCAGAAGTTTGGCCATGGGCAAAATTCTTGCAGGAAGAAGCACACTTGCTACAGATGTGGGGAATATGATCATGATGGCCAGACATGCACCACCGCAATCAAGTGTTTGCATTGCTTCGTCAAAGGAATGCTTAGCGTGGAATGCTTAGCGTGGCCACTGTTCTAAAAAATAATTGTGAGAAAAGAGTCACCTATGCTTATGCCCGAAAGCATACTCGATTACTCACACCCGTAAACATCGATCGCCCATCTTATGCTTCTGTCGCTAAAAAATTAAAAGCATCAATTCACGGCGAAACAGACCAGACATGGGTGACATCAGAACAGCCTAAAACATTTTCCTACTGTTAAATAAAGAGAAACATCATCATCGACTCAAACCGAATCAAAGATTAAGCCATCCAAGTCGACCAAAGTAGACTAAAATTAGAGTTGGGAATTGGTTAAAATCTCATAATTGATGATTGGTTCATTACCACCGATCAAACCACCACCGATGGAACGAGCCTATAATGCTTATGAAATGTAACAGACAAAACCAACCTTGTGAAAAATATTGTTGATGAAAACAAGTGTTCCAGAATTGTTTGTGTTCGATTATGAGAAAACATGATCGATTGCTTGGTCGTTTAGTCACTGCGACCAATCTTCGATTATTTCAATTAATCGGATCACCACTAACTAAAATGACAACAAATTCAATCGGATCGAGTGCCTAGGGCACTGAAAGATATTGTGCAACTTCATAACAGATTTGCGTTGCGTTGAGGTTATGAATACAGAAGTACCCTATTAAGCACTATTAGCCATATCAGTGACCATGCGCCCACAAAGAAAGGGGTAGCCTAGTAATTTAAGCGTTAGCTCATCACGCCGAAGACCCGGGTTCGATTCCCCACATGGCTACAATGTGTGAAGCCCATTTCTGGTGTCCCCCGTCATGATATTGCTGGAATATTGCTAAAAGCGGCGTACAACTAAACTCACTCACTCAAAGCAAAAGGCAGAGCACTGTCGCCAGTTACTCCCCCTTAGATGACTGATACAAAAAGTGGAATTGCCGGAGTTTGATGAGGTTTAAACTTCTAACACAGACCTGTAATGCAGTAGCTTTTAGCCTGGAAAAAAACTTATTCAAAGTAAAAGATTAACTGACTGCGTCAATATAATGTATATAATTTCTATGCTAAATCCGTTAATGGTAAAGCATCTAGTGGCCCAGAAATATTTGTGAAACATGGAACTCTGTCCTATTTCATTAATGCGAACCTTTAGGCAGTGGCAGTGGCCATGTTGCCATTACTCAGTTATAATCTTATTGACCAGCTACCCATGCCTTTCTTAAATTATACTCATTTTTTTTATTGAAGGGAGAGGATCCCCCTCAATGTATTCCGCGTCAGTCCTTTGGCTGTCAAACATCTTTTGTTGAAATGTGTGAATTTTTCATTCATTCGCCAACGATTTTATACTGTTCAAACTCTTCAATACCATTTCTTATCATTTGATTTTTTATGATATTTGAAGGAAAGTAAATTATATGATAAGATGTAAACTTTAAATTCTGAATGTCAGGTTTTAACTGATTGAGGTTTTAGTGATCTTCGTCATCACTTTTATTGCTTTTTCTTTCCTAGTGGAAACTATTTGTTTTTCTAGCCGCGAATAGCTTCCAAATTGGTGATGCGGCTGCATGCAACATCACTCACTCACTCACTCCTCACTCACACAATCGACGGAAATTTTGATAGTGACAAGCAACATTTAAATTGAATAGGAGCCCCGTTGAGGTGGTGACTTGCAGCTTGAATCTGTGGATAATCTCGGTTTGCTTTGTTTGGGGGTAGAGCATTGTAGTAAGGGTTGAACTGAAGGGAAAATACAATGACTCTACTATCGCTATATATTGAAAGAAAGACTTTCATTTAAACTGAAAAGGAGTTCCAGTGAGGCAGAGATCCTGGTCCTGAGGACAATCTACACGTGCTTCATTCAGGGCGTTTCTGTTACAGTAACGGCTGTCTAGAAAGGAAAATAATTATTCTATGGTACAGGGACTGTGCCACTGGCAACTTTACGGTCTGCATAACAAACAAGCATGCCAAGGGCTGTTTGCCGTCATTATCGTTTGGTCTAAGGAAATCGACACATCTCAGACATCGACAACAGTCGCCGTGACTCTCTCCCATAAACACATACAACGGTAAATTGTAACACCACAAAACTACCATTTGATACATATTTTAACTTCTAGATATGGGTAGCATCGGTTTGTTAAATTTACTAAGCTTGTTACTTGTATTACAAATAATGACAATGAGGTTGAATTTTAGAAATATGTACTATGCTATAAATTAATTTGTCAGCATTTTCAATACATTTCCGATACGAAACCCATACACAGTATCGAATACATATACGAGTTTCTGTAGCCTTCAAATATATGTATTACAAATAATGGCTATGAGGTTGAATTCTAGAAATATGTACTATGTTATAAATTAATTTGTCAGCATTTTCAATACATTTCCAATACGAAACCCATATACAGTATCGATTACATATACGAGTTTCTGTAACATTCAAATATATTTATTACAAATAATGGCAATGAGGTTGAATTTTAGAAATATGTACTATGCTATAAATTAATTTGTTTTCAAATATATGTTCATGATATGATACTGACAGTCCCGCTTCGGTAGGGTTACTGTATATCTCCAGGCACGTGTTTCCAATGTACAATAGCACAAAAATGTTTTATTGCTCCTTACTGTTTCCAAAGAAAGATAGCCATTCTATTATGTAAACCACAATGTCCTTGTTCTATTCTACAACAGGCCAGCCTCACCTCAGCGGGATTCTCCCCACTGTCTCACAGACTAATGTCATTTACCGTTACTGTAAAGGTGAAGCAGTTAATGAACTCTAGGTTTTCTTCAGGTTCAGGTAGGATTTTCGAATTTAAACGAAGTTGTTTCTTTCTAACAAATTACATGTAGTAAATTATGTATTTCACAGACTAAGCGTTAGCCCCCAGACACCTGCATTACCCACTGTAAAGCTATTTATTGCTAGTATAAGAATAGGCGAGGTACATGGATCGCACTTGGGTTCAGAGTTGGCAAGGTGAAGAAACAGAATACAATAGGTCCAGATACCCATAAAGTTTTAAATAACAATATAACATACATCGGCGACAGCCTATTCATTATTGATAAAACCGTATAGTATGTACAGCACAACTTTAAACATGTACATGATCAGTGACTTTCAGGCACTACTTTTCAGTCTTCTGATGAATTTGAATTTATCAGTCGTAGTCTCCTCGATCCTATAGAAGATATATATATATATATATATATAAACGGAAAGACGCGGAGATCTGCTAAAGTCATTAGTTGGTCATTAATCGTAAAATTGATGTCACTACGTGGAAAGTTCCAGACAGGTTCCTGTCCACAGAATGTATCTTCAAGCAGCCTAGTCTCTCATGAAATCCGGCCACTGGAGGATATAGTACTTAGTACACAGTTAGGTTATTTCAAATGCTTCTTAAAATTTTCTTTGTTTACTGTTGTAACGATATAACCCATAACCAGTTTCACGTTAAAACTAAAAACCATCCGGAATTTGAAATGTCATAGGAATCCATGCACAATACTGTACATAATCTCCTGGATGAAGTTTAGTTAAACTACAATGGACCTATGAGTCTTTAAAATGGTATGGTTCTGGCCAGCATAGACTGTAGATGTATATGATGTCTATCGTTTCGTAAAGTCCCTGGCATAAATGAAAATATTTATATCTGTGCACGTGTATCCACCAAGATAAATAAAGCATAGTGGCTGAAATACTCACATAAAATAGTCCTTGTGGTGCATCTTTTAATTATCCAACGACACATCTTACCAGAGCTGATGAGGAAAACAAAGCTACGAACACTATGAAAGCTGTGCAAACATTATCATATATTGGTTTGAATTGTGAAATATGAAGTGTATGTTGTATAGTGATCTTATCGGTCATACGTATGATTTACGTTTACCGTACTTACAGTAAGAGAAACCAAACTAGTGTAATGTTATGTTCGAGTTGTTTCATTCTTGAAATCTATTTGAAATAGACATGGTAATATATACTCTTCAAAAAAAGAAACTTGACATGGGACAAATTTGAATTTTAGGAAACTCTTTGACACAAACCAATCCATGTAGAATCCCAGCATGTTGGGGAATGGTTGCCGACGACAAAACGTTTGTAATAAGAAACGTTTAACAAAAACGTAACGTTACACCCTACATGAAATGCACTAGCATCATGAAATTGTGTAACACCCTTAGCTGAAGCCTATGACCGTAGGAGGGGCGGTGGGGTAGCCTAGTGGTTAAAGCGTTGGCTCGTCACGCCGAAGACCCGGGTTCGATTCCCCACATGGGCACAATGTGTTAAGCCCATTTCTGGTGTCCCCCGCCGTGATATTGCTGGAATATTGCTAAAAGCGGCGTAAAACTAAACTCAGTCAGTCAGTATTAAAAAACACATCAATGATACGCCACATGCTTTTAGCCACTATAGACGACAAGCTAAGAGAATGAAAATACTGACAGAAGCTCAACGACACAACGCCCTCGGCCGTTTACAAGGACGGACATCGCAGCATGATGTGGCAAGGCACTTCAACGTGTCCAGACAGACCATCTCAAACCTATGGACCAGATAAAAAATACTGGGGGTGTTAATGACAGACCCAGGTCAGTTCGACCTGGAGTTACCACCGCCGCCCAGGATCGTTACATTCGGATGAGACATTTTTGTTCAAACACCACGACCGCATCATCCACAACAATCTAAATCTCTAGACTGCGTCGAATCTCCGACCAGACAGTGCGTAATTGGCTATGGAAAGCCAGACTCTTTGCCAGAAGACCAGTTCAACGTCACGTCGTTCTCTACATCAACGTCAACGGTTGATCTTTGAAGCATGACAATGCTCGACCTCGCGTTGCTCGTTTTACAGGTCTTCCTACAGCAATGTTCAGTTGTTACCTTGGCCTTCTCGATCACCGGATTTGTCACCCACTGAACATCTGTGGGATACTCTTGATCGACGCTTGCGTCAGCGTAATCTGCCAACTCAGACACTACAAGAACTGGTAAGAGTTCCGCCCGTACCCCCCCCCCCCCCTTCCAAAATATGATTAAAAGAAAATGACACTTGTAGATTTATAAAAATATCCCAACAACATTCAACAAGGTAACCGCAAAATAGCAAATCATTATGATTAATTAGCATAAGTGAAACACACGCTGGGAATAGAACACTCAACCTCAGCGAAGAAAGACGTCATGACACCTGCCATGGAGGAAGCGGAAGTATGATATATTCCTCACAACTAATTCGTATTATTGAACGATCATCACACTGAATACATACTGACACGTTACTGATGTAACATGTATAAGGTAAGAACAATTATATACTTACCATCAACGTTCCCCGGGGTACATTACACCGATGTCTCACAAAAGGGTCGTGAATATGTCCACTTCCACCCGACATCGGTACATATACTCGGACCGCCTCCGTGGTGTAGTGGTTAGAGCGTCCGCACGGAGAGCGGAAGGTCGCGGGTTTGATCCCCAACCGCGTCATACCAAAAGACGTTAAAATATGGTACTTGTTGGTCCCTGCCTGGCGCTCGGCATTAATGGGTACAACAAGGACTGGTCGGCTCGGAGTCAGTATAATGTGTCTGAGTGGGGTATTCATGCTTCACTGCGGCATGGTATCTCAGTGGGCTAGTACTATAAAACCAGCTTAAGTCTGGGCTAGTACACGCAGCCGCACATACACATACAGACGCATGCATGTCGTCATATGAGCGAAATATTCTCAAGCACGACGTAAAACCCAATTTCACCTCACCTCACCTCACATATACTCGGCGAGGTGTAGGGTGAAATCACCTCACCGAGCCGGTAATTGTCGCTTGATACACCACCACCGGTTTTCGATCAAGTTGGTGCACGCACCAGTGATGAGATCGATAAGTATTACAAAAGGAATTAAATACAATTATACATTTAGAAATGTCAAAGGAAATATAAAATACGTACAGATCATCAATAACAACATTATAAGCAAATACCTTTAACACGTCACAATTTAATTCTGGACTCACAAAAGTCCAGAAACTCTCCGCACTGTGGGCACTTCCTGACAAGAGATTTGACCAAATGAAACATGCAGTTGTTATGAATATATGCCAAGGATAAAAAACTGAAAATTTAAACTAGCTCGCCCATGGGCCTGCCCATGGTCGAACAGTGGCCCATGGGCGAGACTGTTTAATTTCGATCAGAATTCATGTTTTGGAGGTTGTAAATCAATGAGTGTATGTTTATAAGCATCATGACACAAATTTCAACTCATTTTGACTTAGTTCGACTAACTTAGAGCGATATTAAAAATCTCGCCCATGAGTGAAAAACATTTTGGCCCATTGGCGAGAATATTTACTTTTACTCAATATTTATGTTTTGGAGGTTGTAAATGAATGAGTGTATGTTTATAAGCATCATGTCACAAATTTCAACTCATTTTGACTTAATTCAACTAACTTAGAACGATATTAAAAAATAGATAAAGGACGAGTGTCAGAACACTATCAAGATTTTAACGTATTGTTACAGGAACAAAGTGCGAACAAAGATGATAAAGGTCTCTCACGATTACTTTTATCTATCTTACAGGCAAGGAATCTAGTTGCACGAACAAGACACTGCCGATAGACTCACCACAGACGTCCAGATACATTCAAAGCAGATTACATAATTTTATCTCTAACTGTATATTATATCTGTAACTACTCCAACATGCCCGTATCATTCTGTATCATGCACTGCTGTCTTGTGTCGTGTGATTGCCAGGGTTGTCAAGTATCATGACGTTTGAGAGCGTCAAGCCTGTATACTTCAGTGTACGTTATCAGCATATAAAGTAGTCCACGTGATGACAAAACAGAGACCACCCATAAGTCCAAAGTGATTGTCTGTGCTCAAACTCGCCAGCCGTCCTAGCTACCTCGACTCTTTAACCCCCTATAGGTCAACGTTTATGCTTACAGTTAAAGTGTAACCCAATTTTATTTGGTTATTAGGACCCTGTATTTTTATCAGCTGCAGCTTAACTGTACTACCAAATTCATAAGCTATACTCCTACTCCTTCTACACACATAATGGCTAAGATAACCTTCTCACTTCTTTTCGCCCCCAAGTCCTTCCTTCCCCATACCCCGACCCCATCTTCTTAATTCCAAACCATTATCAATTTATACTCCTTGCTATCAGCTTAGTCATACCTACAATTATCTACACTCATTTATCATCTGCTTCACCTTTTTTCATTTTTGGTTTCTGACGTTTCTTCTTCCAAATTAAACCCGTGAAGGTCCGAGTTAGAATGAGCCTTCAGTAACCCATGCTTGTCTACCCGTGAAGGTCCGAGTTAGAATGAGCCTTCAGTAACCCATGCTTGTCTACCCGTGAAGGTCCGAGTTAGAATGAGCCTTCAGTAACCCATGCTTATCGTAAGAGGCGACTAACGGGATTGGGTGGTCAGGCTAGCTGGCTTGGTTAACATGTCATCGGTTCCCAATTGCGCAGATCGATGCTCATGCTGTTGGTCACTGGATTGTCTGGTCCAGACTCGATTATTTACAGACGCCGCCATATATTTATTATCATGTTTGTAGCCGTTTTCATTCAAAATTCACTTAGGTTAACACCCCATCATTTACATTTTTGGGGTATGGCGGTTTATCCCTTATTATAAACATATTAATTATTACTTTAGCTCCCACCTACCCTGTCGGCGTTATTGGCTACAGCCAGAAGCTAACGTTAAACTCATAATCATCATCATATGTAGTCACTAGGCACTTAAAACATTAGAAGTAATGCCATGGAACAAGTTATCTAACTACAGTATGACGTGATATTGTATAGTAGATGATTTGAGAATACAGAAGCACTGAAAAAGCATCAGTCGTCTCACAGTCCCTGAACCACATTACCTGCCAACCTGAAGTGCTAAAGCCCTAAATAAAGCAAGTCTAGACCCAGGTTCAGGATCTCTGGTCTCCCTAGGGCTCCTTTTCAATATAAATGGGCTTGTTTGTTACTATCAAAATTATATATATTCAGAGACTAAGCCTTAGTCTACACCAAGGGCATAACACTAGTGACCCAGTTCAGGATCGAGTGATGACTGAAAATGTCAAAAATGCCGCTTCGCAACAATCTGCGAATGATCCAGAGTTCCATCATTTTTATGTGATATGGCTTCACAGAACAACACAAAGGTACTACCTTGTGTTGGAAACTGTATCTGACATACTGCTTCAATGATACATTGATTCATAAAACAGAACAGAAATCACAGCAAGATAAGCCCCAGTACAGTAGCTTATTTATTAATTTGTTAACGTACAACATGCGAAATAACTCAGTACAATTGGAAATGTGGCTCGTCAATGGTATGCGTGTACGAACAGATAATATCAAAACACACACGTCGGAACAGTCAAAATTAAGAATTTGTTGAATATGAAATATTACTTATAATTCGTAATTCTTGTAACATAAACAGTATTGTGAGAGCTTTAACTGTTTTGAAATATGTCTTGTCAATCCTATTGACATTTGCCAATAACCACTTCCAAATAAAATAAATAGTCTATGCTGCTTCAGAACAAATAAAGGTTAATTAGGGAGCCCCGCCCAACTGGGTAATTAAGGAAAGAAATCAATACACTGTCACTTCCTGCCCGGTGTCAGCCCGATCTGTCGACAAATGAAAAATAGGATGTCCCTAACTGTCGACAAAACAAAAAAACCCGGATGTCGACATCGCGTGGTCAACATACCGTGACGGTGTGAGAATGTTTGCTTAGTGGTTGCAAGTGG